TTCGAGATACGCTTTGTGATGGTTTTTAATGTTTTTTTTTTGTTTCTTCAAGCTCAATTTTTATTTGTTTTAGTGAAGTCGTTCTCATAATAGTTGTATTTGACTAATCGCAATGGGTCATCAAAATATTTGGTTCTCGCATCCGCGAAAGTATGGTCCTGGATCTCGATCATGGTACGTGCTTTAGTTCGAGTTTGATTTGTGTGTTATTTATTTTGTTTGTTGTGTTTATTTATTCCTTCTGATCTCCCGAATTATTATCGTTTTCGAATAAATCCGATTTCATACCTCTGTATGAAATTCAGAATCAGAGTTACATTCCGATTTATCTGCTCTCTGTTTTCAACTGTATTTCGTTCACACTTGCCCTACATATTGCTCGTTCAGCCGTGTGTGTTCCAATCATCATGGATTGATCAGAAAATATGGATTGAACATGTGCCGAAGATGCTTCAGGGAATACTCCGGCGATATTGGATTCAAAAAGGTTCCATTCTGAATTCGTTTCGTTGAGAAACCTCTATTATTTCCCTCAACATTGGTCTTTTTACCGTTTAGATCACCCACCTGATTGAGATCAACTAGTTATAATGGCTGATTTTTGATGATGACACTCGAAGGTTGCGAATTTGTCGCTATCCAGTTTAGGAACTCTTTTCAGAACTGTAATTCCTCAGAAAATGTCACTTCGATTGAGTTAATTCGGTAGTTATTAATGTATTTCGTATGGAAATTATCATGTGATTTCGAGATTAACTGCCGCATTAAACTTGTCTGTATTCAGTGGAATTTCACTGAATTCAATCAGCTTGATTACATTGAAAAAATGTTTACGAAAATTTTGATTTCAGCTGAATTAATGGTTGAAAGTGGTCATTGGACAGTGATGCAAATTTGTTTGAAGAAGCTTTGTTATGAATTGCTATTATTGTTGTTAAATCATTAAGAAAACAATGAATAAACATCATTTTTGTTTCCCTTTCTTCGCATTTGTCCACATATCCTCTCAGCGTAGACATATCGTTGGAGCGATACGCAGAAGAATTTATTTAGCAGATTGATTGTCGATGCATAACAAACCAAACATACACATGTATCGTATCGTTTTGTGCAATCGAAGCATGTTACTCAGTTTCAGTGTATAACTGCAGTACGGTTAAAATACTAGCATTCGTACATCTTTATACATCAATACATCTACCGAGAATTACGTGCATTGAGGTGACATTCAAGAATTCATCATTGAATAACTGATCAGTTACAAAACATTCATCTCGACAAAACAGAAGTCACAAAGATATGAGTCACATATAAAACGGTTCCATGCAATCTCAAGCATTGTTCTGAATCAATTGTGATGCCTTCAAATCGGCATTATTCCTGCATGTTCACTTCACGAATAGAGAACGAATTTGGAAGTATGATGGTTGAGGAGTTCGGTTCATTCGATAACCTTCGAAGAGATCAGACATGGGGAGGCGGAACACCAAGTGGATTCAATGTCCATAACAATTGGAAGTTACNTGCTGATCAGATGAAAAGTTACCGTAATGCCATTGTTACGGTACAGTATGAAAGATTCTCATATAACACTTACATAAAATTCTTTGCAAATAGTTCGAGTGGCTTACAAATCAGATTTATCAACTAGGCTATTGTATCATTCGTTGCTTTAAAATAGCAGATTGGAGGAGCGTGTGTGCATCTTGATCTGAGCAGTGCTACAATTGTTATTGCGATTGAAGGTGCGCAACGAATTAAGAGAATGGATTGTGAGGATGTACCTGAATGTATAGCATCTGCACGACAACAGCAACTGATTCTATTCACCGGTCTGGATGTGGCCAATAACGCATCACATGCAGCCGTTCTTGCGGCATTCACGCAGAAACGTTCACTGGATCGTGCACCTCTACGAATGACTCTGCTCTCGGCAGATAGTCCGCTCTATGCGAACAATCCTGATCAAGCACTTAACAAAACCAAGGTTCATCCATTCTCACTTTAAAACCTTCTTCTGATCTTGTTCTTCAAATCATGACACCCTTCAGACAATACATATGAGGCAATAATAAGTTTTGCAGGAGGGAAATGGTATATGACTGATAAAATCTTTCACATTGGTCTCGGTGATGTTCAATTAGATTAACGGAAAGCCAGTTAGGAAACTAAAATTTTTGGAACAGTAAGAATTGAGTAGTTCAAGTAAGCAACATTTTTTGAACTGTTAAAGATCAGAGAACACAAGCGATTTGAGGTTATATTGTATAAATTTGGAATTGGATAAACAATTGAGAAGATCCAACATTGAAGGCCATCAGTAATGAATATTCAATGCAGATCAAAACTATTTCATTTGTCCATGATGATCATCAGCTCAAAAGGGAATGATTTCGTCTGTAAGAGTGGCTGTTTCCTATACGTGTAAACAGAAAACGAGATTTAGACATCATTTATTGTTAGATGAATATTGAACATAATGCAAATGTTTCATTGTTTTCACAGTCAATAGAATTTGCCGCTGATCGCTTCTTGTCCTCACGATCAATTGACTATCACCTATTCTTCAATCACATAATATGCGAATGAAAATAAATTCAGTCACCAAAATTCTCGCGAGGTTATATCAAGACTCGTTGGATGTCGAAATATGTCACAGAAATCCCTGCTGTGATTGTTGTGTTCGCAGACTTGAATTGGAATCATCCATCGTGGAATGAGAAAGTGACCGAGTGTGAATCGAAAATCTCTTCACTGAGGTGAATTCATGAATGAATCCTTCTTCACTTTTTTTTTCGTTTGATTTTCGAAATGTCAGTCAAATAAAAAGATTAAGATGATAATCAGCATAG